AGCCTTACCCATAGGCCCCAAAGTAGTTCCTCTTTGGGGCTCATATTTAGAATCCGATAAGGCAGTCCCAAAAAAGGACTACTATGGGGCCTATGGGTAAACCCTACACCCTGAACCCTAAAACCCCAAGCCGAGAATCCTCAACCCTAAACCCTAATAACGCCCTAATTAAGCCTTAAACCCGAAACTCAAAGCCTTGAGCCCCAAAACCCTAAACCCTAAACCCAAAACCCTAAACCCCTCAAGCCCTAAACGCCTGCCAGGCGTTCGCCCTCCCAGAGCTGTTGATCACTGCACCAAAGGCCCGCTGATCTGATCCAAGTCGGCGAGAAACCTGGGTTTTCTTGTTCAGGGTTTAGGGTCTCACCCAGAGACTCCAAAACCCCTTAATTAAGGAAGATACCTTAAATCATATTAGGATTCCTATTATAGTTTAAAGTAGATTTCTTAATTAAGGGGTTTAGGGTCTCAGGTTGGGGATTTAGGGCATAGGTTGCTTCCTGCATGTTGTGGGGTTGCTGACCAGGTTTTATAGAATCTTTTAAGATCGTGCTTTTCGAAAGCTTGCTTAAAGGGTTTTATAGGGCTTAACAGAACTTTTCTAGGCTCCGCAGCATCCTCTTCGCGCCTCGAGGATTAACAGCTTTCCGTAGTTGTCGGCTTCAACCAGGAGACCCGTCAGCGAAAAGGAACAAGGGTTTCGTACGGTTCTTGCGGGACCTAGAAGCCAAGAGATCAAGGGCAGCTTGCCAATGGCTTTGCTTGCTCAGCGAAAGCACTGTGGCTCCAGCTTCTTGACCGGCATGGCAGTCATGCATGTTCCCAGAGAGCCCAACACCCCTTAATTGAGGCATATAAGCCCTAATCCCAAAAACAACGCCCCTATCACTCAAGATACTGTAAGGGCCTTAATGATCAGAATAGGGTCTTGAGGTATATAGTCTACCATAAATATAGCCAGGAACCCCCAACAAAAGTATTGGTAATGCTTTAGGCCCCTACGGTTGATGGACAAAATCCTGCATGACCTTATATACCTAAACTATGGGTTTTATGGTACTATACTATATTTGGGTCATGCAGAATTTTGTCCATCAACAGTATGTTCGACTCCAACCCTAAACCCCTAAACCCTAAACCCTAAACCCTAAACCCTAAACCCTAAACCCTAAACCCTAAACCCTAAACCCTAAACCCTAAATCCTTAATTGCAGGGGTCCTGGGCTCTCTGGCCTTCTGTGGGAGCGTCGAAATTCTTTGAGCCGAAAGCCAGCAGCTGCCTTCCGCGCGTTAGGAGGCAGCCCTAAGCCCTAAACCGTAAGCCCTAAAGGGTTTAGGGTTTGGGGATTTAGGGGGTTTAGGGTTTAGGGGTTTAGGGGTTAGGGGTTCCCTGAACCCTAAACCGAAACCCTAAGCCCTAAACCCTAAACCCTAAAGGTCTAGGGTTTAGGGTTTAGGGCTTAGGGCCTAAACCCTAAGCCCTAAACCCTAAACCCTAAGCCGTGAAAACCGGAAAGCAACCTGGACCCCCAACTCCACTCTAAAATTATGCCAAAAAGAACCCTAAACCCGAACAAAAACCCACGACTAAAGACCGTGAGAGGGCACGTGACGGTCCTGGCTCAGTGCCGCGGGACTCCGTGGCGGCACATGAAGGACGTGACGAGCGACTAATGCAAGAGGTCTTCCAAAATCTCGTAATTCAGGAATATACGTCGAATTCAAGCAGGACCCCTAATATGATTTCAGGGATTTTCCTGAATAAAGGGATTTTGGGAAATCTGGTAAGTGGGCGAAGATGGTGTTGATCGCGTCTCGGGTGGGGTTGTAGGGAATCTTTCAACGAGGGCAGAACAAGCATAGAGCTTTTGGTGGTTTACGAAGACTACCTTAAGAACCCAAAACCTACCTTTTTGTAGGATCCCTATAAATCCCATATTAGGGTGTATAATAAGAACCTACAAAAAAGTGGGTTTGGGGTTCTTAAGGTACTTATAGGTATGCACGGATTACCCAGGACTGCCACGATTCATTGAGGCTCGCGGCTGCGTGAAGTCCTGCAGCCAATAGATGCAAGCACGAAGTCGTCGGAAGCTGTGGGGCGATGCAGTCAGAGAGACCTAAACCCTAGACTCTAAACCCTAAAACCCTACGCGCTAAACCCTAAACCCTAAACTCTAACCGTGTCCACAGCTGCTTCCAAAGAGCTCCATCAATCTTGTAGAGCTCCAGGTCCTTGAATAGCAACGCCCCAGTGAGTGAAGGGTTTGGGTTTTTGGTTTGGAATTTAGGGTTTAGGGTTTAGGGTTGAGGGCTTTGGGCTAAGGGCTTTGGGCTTTGGGTTTGGGGTGTAGGGTTTAGTTGGAGCGACGCAGGAACCGTTTCAGCGAAACCCTGCCCTTGACTCTCCACAAGGCTTCCCAAACCTTGAACCCCAAGCCCTGTTAGAGAAAGGGAGAGCCTGAAGAATTTGAGACTAAGGCCCCTCCTATACCCATACTGGGTTTTAGGCTGTAGGGTTTTGGGATTTTGTCCTTGTTCCTACCGTACCCATACCTGTGTTTTAGGGATTTGGGCTCCTTGCCGGTCTTGTTCCTATTGTACCAAGGGGCCCGACCCAGCTGACACCCCTCCCTAAACCCGAAACCCTAAAACTCTAAAGCCTCAGCCCTAGGCCCTAAAACCTAAACCCCAAGCCGTAAACCCTACACCCTAAACCTGAAGCCTAAACCCTAAACCCAAAGGCCTAAGCCCTTAACCGGAAGCCCCAAACCCCAAACCCTAAAGCCTAAGTCCAAAGCCCTAAACTCTAAACCGGAAGCCCTAAACCCTAGGCCCTAAACCCTATAAACCCTAAGCCCTAAAGTCTAAACCGGAAGCCCTAAACCCTACGTATAAGCCCTTAGCCCTAAACCCTAAGAACCCTAAACTCAAACCCCTAAGTTACTAAACCCTAAGCCCTAAACCCTAAACCCTCAACTCCTTTTGCCCAGGTTCATCCAACATGGCAAAGTTCTCGCTGCCGGGATTGTCGGCATTACGCGACCACTCCCCCTTCTTGAAGAAGCCTGAGTCTTGCAATTACAAAGACCTGTTAGGGTTTAGGGTTTAGGGTTTTAGTATAGGGTTTAGGGTTTAGGGCTTAGGGTAGGCCCTAAACCCTAAACCCTGTTTCGTGTTATTCTTTTCTTCGGGTTCCCCGTCTCCTTCTTGCACAACCCTTAGTCTTGGAGTCACAAACCCCTGTTTAGCCCCTAATGCCCTAAACCCTAAACCTAAACCCTAAACCCTAAACTCTGTTAGCGATTAGCGTTTCCCTCCCTCTTTGAGCAGTCCTTAGTCTGGCAATCGCAGCAACAAGCCCCTGTTTTAGGGGGTGTTTAAGGGTTTGTGTTTACAGCTCTAGGGGTTTAGGGGTTTAGGGGTTTAGGGTTTAGGGGTTTAGGGGTTTAGGGTTTAGGGTTTAGGAGTAGAACTGTAAGGCATCGTCAGCTAGAAAGGCTCCTGTTTTGAGGTTTAGGGTTTCAGGCTGACGGCACTTTTGTAGAAGCCATAAAGGTCGCTTTCTAAATTAGGGTCCCTTTGGGGTCCTTTTTATAAGGGTGCCGTACTATATTGAGGACCTAAAAAGGGACCCTAATTTAGAGAACTACCCATGAAGTTGCAACGTCCTTCACGGTTTAGGGTTTGGGGTATAGGAGTCATGAACCCCATGCCCCTCAGGTAAAGTATAAGGAATCCTACCCCTAAACCCCTAACTTTAACTTTAAACCCCTAAACCCTAAACCCAAAGCCCTAAACCCTAAGCCCTAAACCCATGTTCCAGCATTCTGGGTTCCCCGTCTTGCATCCAGGGCTCAGGCTTGAGGCTTTAAGACTTCTGGCCGCATGGCCCGATTTTTTTTTTTGAGCGCCTCTCTTTCCGACTGCATGCCAGGGAGGTCCCAGGTTTAGGGCTTAGGGTTTAAATGGGGTTCAGGAAATGGGGTTCAGGGTTTAGATTTTTGCTGCACTTCGGGTTTTTGAGGCCCACATAGGACACCCGCATAGTAACCCCGTTAGAACTCCAGCTGCAAAGAAGATCTCGACACGATCCTTTTTGCGAGCAAAGATCTCGGATACGTCTGCCGGAAGACCAGCTTCCATTCCGTTTCGGGCGCCTGCTCCACTTTAAAAGGGGCGCGAATATTCAAAAATGAGGGTTTCGGGGTTACATTCATTATACTTAGAGTATATTAACAAAAACTACGGAATGGTGGATTAGAACAGGGTTTGACGGTTTTGGGGGGTACGTTAGTAGTCTAGTTCTAGTAAAGAAACCCCACAGAGCACCCTCCGTTGAGTCTCGAACGCCCAGAGACACTGCACAAGAGACACCCTTTTTGTAAGATACGTACCTTAGGTCAGAGGAAGAATCTCTGCACCCTAAACCCTAAACTTATGGTACATTCCTTAACCCTAAACCCTAAACCCTAAACCCTAACCCTAAACTTATGGTACATTCCTTAAGCAAGGAGTCATGGAGTCTGTAAGACGCACTACAACAACCCTGCTGTCGGCAAGGGTGTTGACAAGTCATGAGCATTTGAACCAGCTCAAGCTGTTCTGTTTGAGAAGTAGACGTAGTCGCAGTCGTAATACCAGTCGCAATAGCAGTAGCAGTAGCAGGAAGCAGTCGTCGGTGGTGGTGGTACTCCTGCTACCACGACTTTGTACTACTAGTGGTACTAGCAACCTACACCCTAAACCCTACACCCTGACCCCCCCCCCTAAACACACCCTAAACCCTGAACCCTCAAGCCTAAGCCCTAAGCCCTAAGCCCTAAGCCCTAAACCCTAAACCCTAAACCCTAAACCCTAAACCTAAGCCCTAAGCCCTAAGCCCGAAGCCCTACGCCCTAAGCCCTAAGCCCTAAACCCTAAACCCTAAACCCTAAACCCAAAGCCCTAAACCCTAAACCTGAACCCTAAGCCCTAAGCCCTAAACCCTAAACCCTAAACCCTAAACCCTAACCTAAACCCAAAAACCCTAAGAGTGAATAGGCTTTGTACAGCATCAGAGGTTCGCGTCCCCCCTCGCCTTTAC